TATCACACAGACTGAGCGAGGAGGGAAGAGGTGGACGCAGGGTGCAAGTTTGGGCGTCTTGTTCATTTAAGGAAACATACTTCCAGATGATGTTTGCCCTTATTTCTCCCTAAAAGTTTTAAATTCTTTATTAACATCCCAGCATGACTCTTGATTAGGAAGCATCCGTTCCTTCAGAAAGCACTCATGGAGTGCAGACCTGCTCCCTGCCACTCTCTGCAAAGCAGACCCAGGCAGGAACAGACCTGTCCCTGCCCTCCGGGAGGGACACAGAGGGACCCCTCGGCCAGTGTGAAATCGTAACTGATACGAGTTGGGAAGGAAAAGCACGTGGCACAGAACTTAGAGCAAAGTTCAAAGAAACAAAACTGAGTACCTCGCCCATGACACTTCCACAGCTCATAAGCCTCACGCTGGATGTCCCTTCTGCCCTCCTCCTTCCAGAGAGAGGAAGCTCTTTCTGTCCCACCGGGGGGCCGACCTCAGCCTGTGTGGCTCCCGCCTGGCCCAGCTCCCAGCTGCTCCACCATCACCACCCTTTCCTCCCTCACTACGTGTCTCGGGGGCCTCAGTGCCTCTCCTCATCCCACCTAAGGCCACGAGTCATCCTCTTCCCGGGCCTCATGCCTGTCCCTCGCCAAGCCGCAGTGTGGCCAGGGCCCACGTGCACGCTTCCGCCTTGGGCCCATCACGCTGCAGGCACCTAGCATCACTCCTTCCTCACTCCCGGGACTCGCCCGACTCCTAAACAAGCGTATTTGAAACAGCACGGCCAAAGGGCAACCTTTTACCCTATCATGGTGCCACAGCCTCCATGCCTGGGAAGAGAATCAGGCTGTAATTGTCTATCCACAGTGTGGAAACCCAACTGAACAAAATGGAACGGCTCTCAGACAGTGTTGGGTGTGGGCCATCCTCGTTCCTACCCTGTAAATGGTGGGGGCTCTGCACGTTCCTAGTCTCGACCCTTCCCTCTATAACCCCCTGGCAGACGAGCCCATCCTCACACGTGGTCTGCCTGCCAAAGGTCCCCACTCCAGTCCCAAGCCCCTGCAGACACCTCCACGTGGTGTCACACGGGCATGTCCGAGGCAAGTCCAGCATCTTCCCCCGAACTGCTCTCCTTCCTTTGGGTCCCCTCGGTGGGCGCCCTCCAGCCCCTTTCCTATGCATCCATGTCTACACAGATACTCAGTGGAATCACAGTTCCCTTTCTTACAGCCGCGGGTGGGATTCTCTCATGATGCTCTGCACGCCCTCCGGCCCTAAACCTCCAGTCTTAGTGCCTCCCTCACTGTTTAACCACTCAGGCCTGTCGACCAAAAACACACCCTCCAGCTTCCTGATTTAAAGACAGGTTGGGAGACTCAAGTAGGTTCAAAATCTCACATCATTTACTAACCAACCTAATGTCTCCCTTTACAATATGGGTGCACGTCAATGAACTAAGAACTAGTGGGTTTTGTTTTATCCGTTTTTAGTGAAACCTGCATCGTGTACCATCAGTGTGTTTCAGCAGTTTCTCGTCACCAGGTCAGTCACGCATCCACACGACCTGTCTGGGAACTGGGATGCTGCTGACCCCACAGATCAGGGGGGATCTAACCCTCCCTCTACCTCCCGTGGGGGCGGCTCAGAGCGGGGGAGCGAGCGCTGCTTTCAGGGGTTTGTGTGCTAAACCACACTGAGCTGGGCCGCAGCAAGCACACAGCCCAGAGCCAGAATTTGCTACCGAGCTCCCGACACAAGCAGGTCACTGACCCAGGGCAGCAGGTGGCAAACATAGGGTGGGGAGGGATGGGAGGGCGTCAGAATGACCTGGGAGAAGCTTTGCAGCCTGGCCCCAGTGACCAGCTATCCCGGTTTGTCTGGGACGTCCTGGTGTTAACCCTGAAAGTCACTTATGCCAGAAAATGATGCAAGCTGGAGAAATCCAGACGGCTGGCCACTCCAACGTGTGTGTTTTTTCCACACCACCAAGCAGTTAACTCAGTTCTCCAAGGACACTGACCGGGGGCCCCACAAATTTAACTCAGTTCTGACTCTGCCTACCCGGAGACGCTGTTGGATCCCACAGGTGAAGGGCTCAGTCCTACAAGACTGCCGCTGTCCCCTTCAGATGCCAGTTGCAAGTCCCGGTTGTCCCCAGTGCTTCTGAGGATAGGCTGCAGATCAGAGATGCCACTAATTTCCTAGAGCAACTCACAGAACTCAGGAAACCCGTTCACTCACTAGGTTACCCGTTTATTACAAAGGACGTAAATGAGCAGCCAGATGAAGTGAGGCCCAGGGCAAGGCTCAGGAGGGGCTCGGAGCTTCCACGCTGAGCACACCACCCTCCCAGCACCTCCACGTGCTCACCCACCCGGAAGCTCTGAGCCCCGTCCTGCTGGGTTTTCATGGAGGTTCCACGACGTAGGCATGACTGACTAAATCCCTGACCCTTGGTGACCGATTCAACCTCCAGTCCCTCAACCCTCCCTGGAGGTTAGATGGTGGGACCGAAGGTGCCAACCCTGCAGTCACATAGGGGGTTCCCCTGGCGGCCAGCCCCACCCTTAGGTGTTCTCCCAGTGTCCTCATCCACAGAAACTCAGACGTGGTTGAGACGGGTTTGCTATCAAGATCAAGATACCTCTATCACTCTTACCACTCAGGAAATTCCAAGGGCTTTCTGTGCCAGAAACCAGTGAAGACCAATTACATTTCTTATTACATCACAGTATCACCCACCCTACGGCCCCCTCCTCCCACCACAAACCTGCCAATGGGCATAGGTGGGAAAGCACCTGGCTTTGGCTCTCCTTTTATTTCAAATTCTAACTGCATCAGGGCCTCTTACTGGATGTCACCTGGGACCCTTCACCTGGGCAGGTAAGGGAAGCAGACTGGCCCGAGGCCCCATCGCTGCCCCCGCAGCAGCTCTTCCCAGCTCAGGGGTCTCAGCCCCCCGAGTCTGGGAGCTTTAAACAGCATGGCACCCGAGACCTCTGACTTCATTGCGGGGTGGGGGAGGGGGAGGCTGGCATCACTGCTTTTAAAGGTTTCTTGGGTGATGTCTGTGCCCAGCCAGGGTTGAGACTCACTCACCCCTCTGTCCTCTCTGCCTCTGTCCATCCCTGCTTCCACCCTTGAGCCCCACCGACCCCTGCCTAAGAGCTCTTACAAACCTTTCCAGACCTCTCCAAGGCAAGGACAAAGTCCAAGGCCCTCAAGAGCTCCTTTTGTCTTCAGCTGAGCTGAAAATGAGATCTCCCAGAGTTAATGATCTTGGTGGTTTAATGTGTCCTGCCCGGGTGGCCATTCCACTCTTTTAAATGGCCTTTCATGGCCTTACTTCATGTAAAGAAGCAATTCTTTAACTTACTAAGGAATGTACTCATAATGATACAAAAACTAGATGGCACACTGACCACGAATAAAATCTCTGGTCAAAATACCCAGCATGTGACTCCAATTTGCAGAATTCCAGGGTGGAGGCCCTGGTATTTCAGAACCACCAAGGCTTTGACCTCAGCCCACCAGGCTAGTCTGCGTCCATGGACAGCTCTTCCCATTGCACTCTGCTTGATGACTATTTCTCCTAAACTGACACCATTGTGAAGGTGTCACTGTAATTTCTTATCCATCTTTCTTCGTGGAAAAACCATACGCTCTTTCAATTCCTGACTGCAAACAGAGTGATCATTCTGTTTCTCTGGACATTCACTGTAGTTTGTACTTTCTCATAATGTGTCATTTGAATGTTTCCTACAAGCCTGAAGATCTTGACAACCAAATGTGTTAAGTTAAACGATGCCTTCCCCTCCTCCCCTGTTTTAAAACAGGAACTTGGGCTTAGTTACCAAAAATGTTTTGAACTTTTGCATGTCGTACTGTCCAAAAACTCGACTGTTTTAAAATGCCATTGCTGATGACACTGTTTCAAATGCAGTGGTGTTCACTGTTTCCTGCTTAATGCTTACAAAAGTCCCATGTCCTTCAACTATCATTAAATTAGTGTTGTGTGGTTGTGCTATTCGGACGAAAAAAATGTTGGTTTCCAAGGCTGTAGTTCTAAACTCAGGCTGGTGTTTACTCCGTTTCTAATGGCAAATGAGCTTTTAAACATCTCTTTATGTAGCAGAGGATCCAAACAGCGCTGTGAAGTATTTGAACTGGAAGAGGAGGATCGGCCCCAGTTTACCGCAGTCGCGGGTCCTTGCTGCCTCGCATGGACAGGAAGGAACTTTGTCACTTTATGAGGAGCCAGAGCAAAGCTGAAGCTATGCTCTTTAAAACATTTGACATTGGCACTGACTCAATGTCACGGGCCTGTGGTCTTTCTGTGCAAGGGGGCCAGTCTTCTTTCTGTGCACCACAGACCAGCACCGTGGACTTGGGCTAGCTCGGGTCTGCCCTAAAGGGGAAGATCAGGCAAGCTCACTCTGGGCTGTGACCTGCTGGTACTCTCTGTGCGATTCCGTGCTGTGGCCACTGACACTCACAGAGACTGAGTAGCTTGGCGCAGGCTGAGGAGGTAGGAATTGGTGGGGTTGGGATGCCAGCCTCACGGTCCTGCTGCACCACTCTTCTGGCCCTGTGACCTTCAGTGGACACCCACCCCTCTGGGTTCAGTTTACTGTAACTGAGTCACAGGGTGGGGATCAGGTGCGCTGTCCTTGCACATTGAAGAAGTCACAAACACACAGTGACCAACCATGCCCTCCTGGCCGAGAACAGACTTTCCACAATGGCTCTGGGGGTTGAGAGCAAGTTAAATTCTGAGCACTTTGGGACCCTCTCAGGGAGAGGAAGTACGGAGGATGTTATGGGCGTGCTGGAAGAGAGGAATGGATGCTCTGCTCAGTCTGGATCGTGCCTGCCTTCCCAGGTGTATAGATTCTCAGATTAGACTGCAGCCCACTGCCCAGAGTTCACCACAGTGCTTCCCTTGAGGGTTGAGGTAGCTGTGGGACAGTGGAGAAACATGACCCAGTAAACGATGTGGGGGCCCTGAAGAACATCAAAGATGGCAGACACCTCCCCCGTGTCAAACACTCCAAAGCCCAACAGTCACACAGCAGACATCAGCAGCTGATCCCAGTACTGCTCCTACCAAGCCAGGGGAGGGCTCTTACCACTATGGTGCATCTAGCCATACTGACCAGCGAAGCTTAGGAGCGGGATCTCTTGCTTCCTTGAACAATTCCCAAATCCACTCAACAGATCCACTGAACGATTCTCAAATCCTCACTCTACTTTGGCTAGAGGAACATAGTCTTAAAAAGAAAGCAACTGGATTCTCGCGTTATATATTTTTATCATTTCTTGTGCACTCTTAAAAAGAAGCCAGCCTTTTGACGACTGAACTTAAAGACAATAAACAACAAGGTCCAATTCCACAGGGAGGGCACTACGTCACGGGGTGAAAAATGCCATGGCATGGGGAGCTCTCCGAAGGATTGTCAACTCAAGCAAATTTGCTGGTTATCTGATCTCAAAATGAGTGTATTCGAAAATAGCCAAAAGAACCGCAGTTCAGCACGTGAACGCTATGGCTAACCAGAGGCAAATCCAGAGAACACAGAACGGGAGCTGCTTTTACAGTGAAAAGGTGGGGCGAGGGACAGGCCGGTGTAAAGGAACATCCATTGGGGGAGAGGAACAGCTCAGGGCAGCAACGGCTCCTCTTTGGCGGCGCCGTGGCCTTTCCCACCGGCCGAGCTGCCGCGGGTGGCGCGGGAGAAAGCTTCCTCCAGCAGTAAATTAGTTGCGCTTCCCGTCTGAGATGCAAACATCCCCACTTCCTCTTTGGTGTAATGGACGATGTCATAGGGCGAGACAGCTCCCCCTGCAGGCCTTCCCCATCCAGTTTAGTGAAGGTTTCCCTTATCATTTTCCACAGGATCAAAGATGGGTCCTCGCAGGAGGGACCACTCAATCCCAGTGAGTTTGGGTTCGTGGTGTCCGTGGGAAAACGAGAGCAAGAAACGCAGCTCCTCTCAGGACTTAAATGAAAGTTCCAATAAGAAAAGTCTAAGCAAAGTTTGAGGTTGTTGGGGGCTGGCCCCGTGGCTGAGGGGTTAAGTTCGCGCGCTCCGCTGCAGGCGGCCCAGTGTTTCGTTAGTTCGAATCCTGGGCGCGGACATGGCATTGCTCAACAGACCACGCTGAGGCAGCGTCCCACATGCCACAACTAGAAGAACCCGCAACGAAGAATACACAACTATGTACCGGGGGGCTTTGGGGAGAAAAAGGAAAAAATAAAATCTTTAAAAAAAAAAAAAAAGTTTGAGGTTGTTGTTAATGTTTTTTGAGTACATTAATAACGAAATCCTCAAATATTCCTATTTGAAGGCCGACAAGGTTTAGTATTAAGGGCCCGTTTCCGAGGCAGCGGGAGGATGCCCCGGCGGGGGCCCGGCCGGGGCGCGGAAGGCGGGGCGGGCGGGCTCCTGGGAGGTGGGCGTCCCCAGGGGCTTCCGAGGACCAAGGAGCCGGGGGCGGCGGTCTCCCGGGCGGGGGCCGGGCCGAGCGCAGTGGCTCTGCAGGGACTGCAGGACCAACCCAGGAGAGGCGGCGACATCACCAGTCCCTGGAGCCACCTCCCAGAGTTCCTCTCAAGTTTAGCGTCGAAGCCATGGCGCGCCCCCGTCCCAACAACCCGCCCCAGCCGCGCATGCGCACTGAGCCGCAGCGAGCCGCGCGCAGCCCGCCCGCTTTCAGCTGCGCAGGCGTACTGAGCGGCGCTGGGATGAGGGGAGAGCGAGCCGCGGGGGAGGAGGGCTGGGGGCGGGGGGAGGGCGAGAGGCGGGGCGAGCAAGGGCCTGCGGCTGCGCACTCGCGTCGCCGCCCCGCCCACTTCCGGCGCGCGGCGCTGCGGGGCAGAGGCTGCCTGGCCGGCGTCCGAGATAGGGCGTGTTCGGTCGACGACCACAAACACACCGACCGACCAGCAGGGCCGCAGCCACCATGGCGTCCGACGGGGCCCGCGGGCCGAAGCCGCGCTGGGGACTGTCCCTCGGCGGCGCCGCGCTGCTCCTGCTGCTCCTCCCGGCGGCCGCGGCGCAGGGGCCGCCCGGAGTGGGTGAGGACGGCCGAGGCGACGTAGGGACGGAGGGTCACGCAGTCATCGGGGCGGGCCGAGGGGGCGCGGGCTCACGGGGTCATGGGGTCGGGCGGGGGGCGGGCTTGGGGACGCGGGGTGCTGGGGTCGGCGGCGAGGCTCGGGGTCGCAGGGTCGTGGGGTAGAGGCGGAGGGCAGAGGGGGCGCGGGGCTGGGGGCGCGCGGTCACGGGGTCCGGCGGAGGGGGCGCGCCCTCACAGCCTCGCCCGCTCGCTGCACCCCCGCGCGCCACGGACCGCGGTGACGGCCGGAAGGACCACCCAGGGGCCCCGTCGGGCGGATGGAGCCGCAGCGGGAGGTGCCCGCGGGGAAGGAAGGGGCCGAGCGGCCTTTTGTCTTGGCTGAGCCGCCGTGGCCGCCCCACGCGTGGCCGTGCCAGGGGGTCCAGGTGCCTGGCTGGCGGCCGGCCGTGCGGCGCGTTTCCGCGGGCCCGCGGGTTGGCCTGGCTTAGCACGCAGCCCTCTCGCTGAAGCTCACTGCGACCCGCGGAAAGACTGGGTAGCCGGTGTCCAGGCCGGGCCCCTCGAGGGCTGGGAGGGCCGGGGCTCGTGTCGCGGGGCCCTGCTCCACGCGGGGCGCCTGGGAGCGGCCCTTGCGTCCACCCGCACCGCGCACCTGAAGACCCCTCCAAGAATCTCCAGGTACAGCAGCCGGTTCCTGGCCTCATGTGAAGACAGGAAATAACAGATGTCCTCGAGGAGGACAGCTGATCGTGTCTACACTCCCCAATCCTGCGGTGCGCGTTCTTCATGCGTTTATCCCACCTGCTCTTGTTAACCACCTGTGCTAGGTGCAGGGACCACGGTTCGTCTCTGTCCTTGAGGAGCTGAGTTCCTGTGGAGACTGACCAGGGAGCAAGCCATTAGAGTGCTGGGTGGGTGAGGGGAGCGTGTGGAGGAAAGTGCACGACCTGAGGGCCAAGGAGTTCCAGAACCTGTGTATTGCTGGAGGGTGGCTTCCAGTGGGCGGGGCGGAGCCTGAGGGACTGCCTGGAGGCTGGTGGAGATCTGGGAAGCGTTTAAGCTGGGGACTGTTGTGGTTGGACCTGTTTCAGAAATACCGTGTTTACTGATGTGTGTGCGGTCCCCACGCGATCGCTAGCCGTGGTAACAGCTGCAGGCGGCCTCTCAACCTCTGTTTCATGGTTCCCAAGAGCGGGGACCAGGGCCCAGCACCGGGGCCAGTTTTTTCTCAGCTCATCTGATCCCAGGCTTTGCCAACTTGTGTAGCACAGCCCAGCGCCTTTCCTCTCGGTGACCCTGTTGGACGTTTATCCCAGGGCAGGACTGGTTGAGTGTCCTCCAGTCCACCTCCAGGTGTGCATGGGTCTGTGTCTGGGACACTCGCGATGCGGCCGTCCTGACGGGTGCTGCTGAAGCGGTCGGGTTGCACTGTATACGGAACTCTTGGTCCAAACTGAGTTTTAAGCTCAAATGTGGAATGAACTTTTTACCAAACAGAATGGATATCTGCCAGGAGTCCATGATTGCACAAGAAGCTCTTTATTGTCAGTGGCTCACAGGGGTGTGTGCCTGAGTTACCACAGTGGTCATGTCAGGAGACACCCTGAAGTGGACTTCTGAAACTGCAGAGACCCCATGTGAGATGAGCGGGAATGTCCTGTGACAGTTTGGGAGTTAAACCAGACTGTCACTAGTATTCACGTGAAAAGCAACTCCTTCTCCAGCCACACTGAGCACAGAGGCCCCTCCCACAGCATGGGCTCCCGTGAGACTCTTAGTGCTTGTCATCCCGGAGGAATGTGACTACACTATTTAAACCCTTTTGTCTTCCTTGTAAGGATGCTGTATGTATTAGTCAGGGCTCTCCAGAGAAACAGAAGCAATACGATAAGCACAGCTATAGAGAAAGAGAGTTAGTATGAGGGATTGGCTCACGTGACTGTGGAGGCTGAGAAGTCCCATGCTCTCCCGTCTGTAAGCTGGAGACCCGGGAGAGCTGGCGGTGTGGCCCCAGTCCAAATCGGAAGGCTGAGAACCAGGAGCACCGAAGTTCGAGGACAGGGGAAGATGGCGTCCCAGCTCAAGCAAAAACACTGAATTCACCCCTTTGCTTTTTTGTTCTATGGGAGCCCCTCAATGGATGGCATGATGCCCACCTGCATTGGTGAGGGCATCTTTACTCAGTCTTCCAATTTAGATGCTCGTCTCTTCTGAAACACCCCCACAGACACGTCCAGAAACAGTGTTTTACCAGCTATCTGGGCATCCTTTAGTCCAGTCAAGTTAACACATAAAATTAACCATCACAGGTGTGTAAATTCAAAGAATACATTGCACCAATCCAAAATCAGCAATTTCTAATGTCTTCTTGTGTGCTTTGGTGAGGAGGAGACATTAGGAACCTGTGAGATATTGAAGATATTTGGAGCAAAATTCTTTAAAGAAGCCGCCTTTGTGGGCTTTGGACCCCACTAATTGTGAATGGGGTCAGACTGGATCCCAGAGTTTCATCTTTACATCTAGGGGGAAGACAGCCCCTCGAAGGACCTCAATCTGTTGTCCTAAAGAGGGATCCAAAGGGGCTCGGGGGTGGAGGGCCTACCTTGACTGCTCCTTGCAGCCGTGCTGGATTTGGGGTGTGGGGTGGGGTCTGCATTCCTTCTCCTGCCCACTTCCCTCCGAGAGCCAGGGCAGGTTGTCCAGGATGGTACGGTACGTATACACACAGTGTATATTTTTGTTCTGTAGTACACTCTCCACATCTTTCTTTTCTACTGAGATGGTAGGATGACCAGCACTCTCCCTGTCTCTGTCACTATGCAGTGTAGGCACAGTGCCCGATTTAAGGACTTGTTCTGCTGAGGGACATGGCCAGCTGCAGCCCTCCGTCTTGTGTGACATGTGTGATAAATAATATATTTATTAATTTCTTTATTTTTAAAAAACATTGGTCTTTACACATGCTAGTAGGTGTCTTTTTGTACTTAATCAGTTGACTCACCTGAAACTTTAGGAAAGAACTCAAAAATGAATCATGGGTTAGTGTATCTTAACAGAAGAACCTGTTTTTCTTT